TGGGCAGAGGAGCCTGGTGGGCTACAGTCTATGGAGCTGCAAAGAACTGGACACACACAAAGAACTGAGCACACACACACACATGATATGTGTAGTGGTATCTAATCGCAAGCCTCTAATTATATATGATGTTGAGCATTTTTCACCTGCCTATTTGCCCCTTGGATATCTTTGCTTATGTTTTTGTTCAGATATTTTGCACATTTTAAAAATCAGGTTGTTATATTTCTGACTGTCGAGTTTTAATTAAGAGCTCTTTGTTTATTCTGGGTAACAGTCTTCACCAGATATGCCTTTTGCAAATACTTAATCCCAGTCTGTTGCTTGTCTCTTCCTTCCATTGACAGTATATATAACAGAGTAGAAGGTTTTAATTTTAATGAACTCCAAATTATCAATTATTTTTGTGGATTATGCTTCGGAGATAAATTTCAAAAGTCATCACCTAATCAAGGTAACCTATATTTTCTCTCATGTGATCTCCTAGAAATTAAAATTTTGCACTCTGCATTAAGTTCTATGATCCATTTTTAGTTAATTTTTGTAAAGGGTGTAAGATCTGCATGTAGATTCTATGTGCCTGTGTTTTGCATGTAGGTACCCTCTTGCCAGTCAAGGACTGGATTCAAATTATCTCAATTTTGTTTGTTTGAGGGTCCTTATCTCTTCACTTTTAAAGACAATTTCACTGTATACAGAAATCAAAGTTGGTGCTTTTTTTTTTTCCTTTAAATATTTCACTCCACTCTCTTTCTGCTTGCACAGATTTTGAAGAAAATCCCAATGTAATTCTTATTCTGTTCCTCTAAAGGTAAGATTTTTTTCTTCCTCTGGCTTCTTTCAGATATTTTATTTGTTTTTATATTCTATGTTTGAATATGATATACCTACATGTAGACTTCAGGGTATTTTTCCAACCTGATGTTCTTAGAGTTTCCTGAATGTGTGGCATGGCATCTGACATTAATTTTGTGAAATCCTCTGAAATTACTGCCCAAATATTTCTTCTGTAGATCTGTTTGCCTTTAAATAAGTGTTTTAATTGAAGCATAACATCCATAGAGAAAATATGCATATTCTAAATGTGCATGCCAACACACTAACAGAGGGTGAATATTTCCGTATAATCAAGACACAAATCATGAAAAAGAACTGCATAATTTATGTTTTCCATTGTATTGTTATAGACATTTCAGGTTCTTGCTCTGTGGGGTTATTTTGATTGGTGCTGTTATGTGCATTTCTAAACATGTCTTGTTCAAATCCCAAAGTACTGCATTTTTGTTCAGTACATACTTACAAGTGAAACTGCTGGACATTCATGTGTTTACTTCCAAAAAAATGGCCAAATAGTTGTCCAAATGGTTGAACTAATTTATGGTATTATTCTGAGAATGCCGGTTGCTTCACTTTCTTGCCAAAATTTAGTATAATTTTTTTTTTCATTTTAACCATTCTGATGGCTATCTAAGGATATTTCATTAAAATTTAAATTTGCACTTCCATAAAGCTTAATGTTGCTGAGCACTTTTTCAGATGTCCAATGGCAATACTAAGTATTCATATGTGAAAAACTAGTTTATTGGGATATAAGCTAACAGTTGGCTTCATACATTTTTAAAACAAATGCAAGTGTCAGAGAGAAAATTTGGTAGTATGTGCAAAGAATTTATACTCTGAACCAGGTGAGTGTAAACTGCTAACCTGAATGTAAACTGCTGACCTGATACCTGATCTTGGTATCAAAGACCTGAATTATTTTAGTACATGTTTCCTTAAAAGAAGTCAAACCTTTTATATAATATTAATAAAACCTTCAACAGGAATTTCTAATTCTCATTTCCATTAGTGTTTCAGGGATAAGTCCCAAAGATATTCTTTATCTCTCAGCTATCTATATTTCAGAGATGTCCTGAGACTAAAAAGTTCAGGATCATAGCATCATATTGCCATCACTGATGTTACATATAAAACAATGTGATGGAAAGTAGAAAAAAATAGAATCTGGTGACACCTTCAAGGGATTCTGTTCTTGCTCACAGAGAAAAGAATAACACTTAGAATACATGATTAGAAATACAGAAACATAGGTTAATATTTAACTATAAGTCTGAAACACAAAGTAATGTGAACATTTCATATCTTTTTTTAGTGTTCATAGTAACACCAACCAGAGGAATGAATTCTAACACTTATTATTCAGTCCTCCCAATTGCTGATTTTCTCACTATTTCCCTACAGGCTGGAGCTGCTCTTGGACACAATTTCTCTCTTTTCCAAATCCAGTCCTCAAATAAGTCCAGGTGATACTCAGCAAATAGTTTTCCTACCCTCTTCCCCTTTGTCACTATCTGTGTTAATCATTATGAGGACAAGCACAGCCTCTTCAGACTCTTACTTTCGTTCATTTCTTACCTGCATTACATACAAAAGAAGGAAAGTCTGAGACTGGCTCAGCAAATACTGCTGCTTCTTATTTAGAACATCTGGAGAGCAAATGGCTATGTGTTGGCTTATACCAACCATTCCACTCTGTTTTACAGTGATAATACAGTACTGACTCTTAAGTATTAGCATATGTGGTAGTCAATATAAGTGTTACAGAATATGAAGACAGCAAATATATTTGTGCAGTAAAACTCAGGAGACTTTCCTTTCATGGAAGTTGGATATTTACCGGATATTCACATAGAAGTTGGATATTCACTGGAGAAAATTGTGGTGGTATGAGATGGGTGGTCAGAAGAGTATCCCTGGTAGTAAGAAAGAGGTGAATGATGCCCCAGAGGAGCGTTAATTACAGACAACAGCACAGCAGCAGCCGATGGACTGCCCTGCATCACACAGGAATGAAGCAGAGCTGGTACAGGGGTGGCACATGGCCAAACCCACTAGAAACCGGGGTGGTGTCGAGGTCCTTTGGGTCAACCACAGATTCCAGGGTAAATTTCTGTAAAATGGTGGTCAAAAATAAAAACAGCTCCATAAGGGCCAGGCCTTCTCCCACACAATTTCGTTTTCCTGAAAATAACACACACACAGGGGATTTGTTCCTTGAACATTACATTTTGAATTGTCACAAAATGTATGAATGATTGAACAGACGGAGGCCTGGAAAGATGGTTAGAGACAGAGAGACAGAAGGAGAGACACACTCGCTATTCACCTAATATCTTCATAGAAACTTTTCATTCAGTAAATATTGATTATCAGCTCTGCGTCAAGCACTTCATTGTATATTCCCACATTTTAACTGCTCTATTCCACTTCCAGTTTCCATCAATCTTTGAATAAACACCCCTACTCTGTTCGTCCAGGTGGGCTGAAAGGAGAAGCCCTGAGAGGAGGAAACTTGTACCTGTGTGCTTCCTTTCTACTTTTGGCACAAAATTCAGCCAAAGATAATTTTCCTCCACGTGCTTTCAAAAGTACATGTCTAAATGTGTCAGTCTCCACTTGAAAATATTAAATATCTCTCCCATCTGTTATGAGGTCCAAATGAGTTGAGCTGGCCCTTCTTATTTTGTTCCCAGTATGGACGGAGGGGCCTGTTAGGCTGCAGTCCATGGGGTCACTAGGAGTCGGACATGACTGAGAGACTTCACTTTCACTTTTCACTTTCATGCATTGAAGAAGGAAATGGCAACCCACTCCAGTGGTCTTGCCTGGAGAATCCCAGGGACCGGGGAGCCTGGTGAGCTGCCATCTGTGTAGTCGCACAGAGTCGGACACGACTGAAGCGACACAGCAGCAGCAGCAGCATGATGTTCCATATCATTCTTTCCATTCTTCACACCCTCTACTCCCAGTGCTAGCAATATCCACTCTTCATCAATCTCCAAAACACCATTAAAGCTCTAATTTTGTCTCATGATGGTTCACTCCGTCAAGATGCATGTCTCTGACACTTCCTGCAGGACCTACATCCCCATATCATTTCCTCTTTATGGTCTTTGCGATCTTCACAAACAGGAGAATCTCGCCCTCTCTGGGTTTCCTCAATATCACATTTATTGCTTCAGTTGAAGCATGAATCACCTTGAATTGTAATTCTAGTTCCTCTGCTATGCTAAAATGTGTGCTTTTGAAATGAAGGCTCAGAAGATGACACAAAGCAGGCATCAAAAGCCATCAAATACATGGAGGTGAATCTGTGGCCAGAGACTCAGCACATACTGTAGTTGTGGAGACCCAGTATCCAAGATCTATGATCAAGAGTGGAGGATGATCACAGTGCTCTGGAACCACTGCAGGGTATCTTGCCACATTCCCAAGGATGCACTGACACTACAGTTAGCTGGCAGGGTCTGACTTTCTCAATCTAAAAGAATGTCCTGCTCCTGTAAAAGTGCCCTGCCTTCTCTTCTCACTTTGCTCCTGTGAGGCAGTTCAAATTCCCTTTCTTCTGTAAGAATGTTCCTTATTCCATTTTATGCCTCACTGTGGGTATGAGTGACCAGAAAAGTGTTTCTCCTTCTGGTCTCATGAGCAGCCTGTGCTTTCCTCTCTCACAACACTATTCAATGTTCTCTTTAGTAATCCGCTTCCCTAACTAGATTGTGAGCCCACTTTGGTGCCCATTCTGTACTTTTAACCCCAGAACTCAGCCTAGGGAGTGAGGGATATCACATGGAAAATACTCAAACTTATGGACTTACATACCTTTCTCACGGCAGAGAAGCAAAATCTAAAAGTTTCACCTGCTAAGAGGAGCTCACAGGTAGCCCAGTGCTACCTAAGATTATTATTGAATTATGCTAGAGGCATAATTCAATTAACCTGTTTTCTAGCTTTCTTACTTTGGAAGAACTGGGTCACCTCCCTGAAGTTCCAATACTGGGGATATATGGTGAGGGGGGAAACACATGGGAATTGAGAGTGGTGCTGTGATCGTGGACAAAAAGCATTTCTACCAGCCCCAGAGAGGGCATCATTAAGTTCCAAGCAACTCCAGAAAGGTACCTTGTTCCCTAAGTACTTAAGGAAATTAATTTTATTACCTGCTGAGAAAGCCATGAAGTAGTCACTCTTCTTAAAGTTGCCACTTTCATCCAGAAAATGGGCAGGGTCAAATACCTCTGGGTTGGGGAATTCTTTGTCATCATGTAGCACAGAACTCAGTGATGTCACTATAGTCATGCCCTGGAATGAAGGATGAAGATCAATTGAGTTATAAGAAGTCATGGAGCAAAAGAAATGTTGCAAATCATTTAGTCCAATCTTTGATCTATAGATGAGGAGCCCCAGGGCCAAAGAAGGGCAGTGGCAATTCCAGAGAGAGACAGACCAAGCAATAAACACGGATGGGTTTAAGCTCAATGGCAGTGATGTTACTAAAGTGGCCTCCAATAGCATCTGAAGTACTGAGTACTTGGTTACTTGGTTTCTGAATCCCTGTTACTTATCACGGTGTTTAGACACTGCTGTTTGTTTTGCTCAATTTCATCATTTCGTTTTCATACATCTCATATGTGGATTATGCTTTAAAATGAAAGCCTCTGATGGCTCTTGAAAAGTCAGATGTATTTGGAACCTGTTTATAGGGCTTTTCATAAATAGAGGTCTGATATGATTAAAAATGACATCTGGCAAATCCATACAGACAGAAACAGGTTAGTGGTTGTCAGGGGCTGGAGGGAGGGAGGAATTGGCAATGACTGCTTAATGGATGGGTTGGGTTTCTTTATGGAGTGATGAAAATGTTCTGAACTAGATAGTAGCTATGGTTGCACAACATTGTGAATGTACTATATTTCACTGAATTGCTCACTTTAAATAGTTAAAATGGTAACTTTTACATTATAACTTATTTTACCACAATAAAAAAGAAAATCTTCCTAAGAGGAAAAAATGATTTCTTAGACAAATACACTAACAACTACTGAGCATTTATCTTTGGGATGAAATTTGTTTCTCTTAATTTTAAAATGTGGAGAAACACATTGTGAATGAATTCTAGATTTTAAAAAAAAGATGACAAAATTAGAAAAATTCTCATTTTTCAACAAAGCAGATAAAGATTATCAATTATTACTGAAACTGTTGGATGAATGTTTTGGGAAACAGTATACACTAAGTCTTAAAGTACATGCCATAGATTTTTAATTAATTACCTATGAAAACAGACACTCAATAGAGAGATATGGAAGATTCCTCCTTAATAAGTGATCATCTTAGCATTACCACTAATGGGATAAACTGACAATACATGTCTTCAGACAAAATCCAATGCAGTGGGACATACACAACATCACCTATGTAATTTTCTTGTCAAATACACAGAATTGGTATCTAATCTCAAGAAAACAATTACCAAAGCCAGACTGCCAAATGTTTAAAATGACAATTGTCTTGGACTCTTCAAAGTTGCCAATGTATTGAAATAAACATAGGAACAGGAACTGTTCTTGATAACAGGGGAGTAAAGGGACAGATAAACTAAATATTTGTTCCTTGATTGGACACTAGATGCCCCTTCAAGAAAAACTATACAAGATATATTAGGATAACTGAGAAAATGTAATTATAATATATATACTAGATAAAATTACTGTATAGATGATAATTCCTTTAGTGCAAATGTTTTTACTGTTATGTAGATAAAGTCCTTGTTCACTTGTTTGAAAGATATACATACTGAAGTATTATTTAGGTTTAAGTGTGATAGACAGATGATAGGTATGTAGTTAAAATGCAAATATATACACATTTTCATATATATTTCATATATTATATATATATCCACTGTGTGTTTAAATACTATTTAAGTTTAAAAATTTTTTAAATTTAAAGTTCGGAGTAATTCCATCCCTTAAGTTTATCACATCTAAGGTTTATAATTTTATTGTTAAAATTATTTCCTTGTATAATCTCAAAACAAATAATACAAGAAAATGTTACTTTAAAATTTTTAAAGCAGGTGTATTTTCAGCAAATGGTGTTGGGACAAGTATATATCCATGAAGAAAGAAGTGTGATCATTATTTCACACCATAAGTAAAAATAAATTTTAAATGGATCATAGACTTAAATATAAAAGCTAAAAGTATAAAACTTGAAAAAGAAAAGATGAGCATAAATATTTGATAACATGCTGGAAATAAGGATGACACAAAAACACAAGTCGTAAGAGAAATAACTGATAAATTGAACATTATCAAAATTTTAAACTTCTGCTTTTTTCTAAAAAAAAATTCTGCTCTTTCAAAAACACTGTTGGAAAAAAAAGAAAGAAAAAGACACATACTGGGAGTAAATATTTGCAACACTTAGACATGATAAAGGGATTGCATGCAAAATATATAAAGAACTGCAATAAGTAATAAGGCAAACAAGACTGTAAGGAGATCCAACCAGTCCATCCTAAAGGAAATCAGTCCTGAATATTCATTGGAAGGGCTAATGCTGAAGCTGAAACTACTATACTTTGACCACCTGATGTGAAGAGCTGACACTGGAAAAGACCCTGATCCTGGAAAAGACTGAAGGCGGGAGGTGAAAGGGATGACAGAGGATGAGATGGGTTGGATGGCATCACCGACTCAATGGACATGGGCTTGGGTGGACTCAGGGAGTTTGCGATGGACAGGGAAGCCTGGCGTGCTGCAGTCCACGGGGTCGCAAAGAGTCGGACACAACTGAGCGACGGAACTGAACTGAACTGAAGGCAAACAATCCATTAAAAAAATAGAATTACAACTTGAGCAAACACTCAGTGAACACATATGAATGGCCAATCAACATATGGAAAAAAAAAAAAAAAAACAAATACCACTATTTGACAAAAAAAAAAAAACAGAAGTAAAACAAAATGTGGTATCACTACACAACTATTACAGTGTCTAAAATTTAGAGGGTGCATCAGCAAGTGTTAGGGCGGGGGAGTCTGGGGACACGCAGACCGCGCACCAAGGTCCCTTCCCTTTAGGGCCAGCGGCCGGTGCTTGCCCGCAACCCAGCCACTTAGCCACGCACAACGCAAGGCATAAACAACAGCAACAAAACAGTGTGGGAATGAGCCTTTGCTTAGTCTCTGACCTCATCCCTCCTCATCCCAAGTGCAGCCTTTCCGAGCCCAGGCCCCAAGCCCTGCGGGATGCGCAACTGTGCCACCGGCTAGGGTTCTGTGAGCACTGCCAGCCTGTCGCGCCGGGCTGGGGGACAAGAAAATCGAGTTCTCCACCTGGTCCAGGCGGCGCCGCCCCACGTGCCCTGCGCCATCGGAGAGGAGACTCTTGCCACATGTTGGACCACGTCTCACGGCGCCGCGCGGCCAACAACCCCAAGGCGCTCCCTGTGCGGAACGAAGCGCGTTGGAGAGCCCACAGTGTAAGCCGCGAGGTGGCTTCCACCCCTTCTCTGTCACTCTCCGCGCGTGGACTACGGGTACCAACGAGTGGAACGCCGTTTGGCGCTGAGATCCCGACCTTTAACCTCTGCCTCCGCCCCCACCTTCTTCGTGGGGTCAGACCTCTTTTGATTCAAGCCTGCAAGCCCTTCTATGGAAAAGTGGAAACTCATTCGGCGCATTGGCATGCCAATCAATTCCACCAAAGTCTGTAGCGATGCTTTAAATGTTTTGTTTGTCTAAAAATATTTACAGATCTGAAATCTCTCCCTTTTGCCCCTTCCCTTTTTCAGGACAAGGGAAACGAAAAGAGGCGTTGAGATAATTGTTCAAAGCCCCCAAGGGCTGGCTTGGCCGGACATATGAGTGGACATGTATACAGGTGTATACATGGGGAGAGACATGTACTTGGTTTCATATTTTTCTGTTTTTTTTTCCCCTACCAATCAATGGCGATCTGACCAAAACTCCCTTTCCCACCACCACCCAAGAACAGCCCCTCAAAACCATTTTCAAAACATATTGCTTTGTTTGGGGTAGAAAGCAGGTGATTTGGCTAGAGGAATACTAATAAATACCACAAACAAAACAAACAGAAGCCATTAATACAAGATAATGAATTTTTTTTTTAAAATTGTAAGAACACTAACAAAGGCAAGTGATGAAGGGTACCCCCAGCAACTGGAACTCTCATTCATATATTGCTACTTGGAATGTAAAATATCACAGCCATATTAGAAAACCGTTTGATGGGTTTTTAAAAATGAAGTTAAACATTTAAATAACACTTTCACTCTTCGGTATTACCTAAAAGAAATGAAAACTTACATCCACACAAAAACCTATATGGAAATGTTTATAGCACCTTTATTCAAATGGCCCCAAATTGGAAACAACCCACATATTCATCAATCAGTCAATGAACAGACAATTTGTGGTACTCCATATGATGGATTACTCATCAATAGAAAAGGAATAAACTAATATATGCAATAAAAAGATGAATCAAACATATTCTGCCACATAAAAAAGAGATTAAAGGCATATATTGATTACAAGTTATTTCACTTATGTCACATACCATTATATTGCACTCTTGAAAAGGCAAAACTGTAGAACTAAAAACAGATTAGTGGTTATCAGGGGCTAAAACTGGGGGAAACGGATTGGTTGCAAAAGGAGAATAAGGGAAATTTTCAAGATGATGAAGATGTGTTTGTATCTTACTTGTGTTGGTAGTGACATAACTTCACATATTGGTCGAAACTCTTTAGACTGTACTTAAAAGGGTGATTTTTCTTTTACATAACTTATACCTCAAGTGAAAAATAGAGGAAAATATTAAGTCACAAAAAAGCACACACGGTAAAAAGTAAGTCTTCTTCCTATCTAGCTGCACAAACTCATTTAGACTCTTCAAAAACAACCATTCCCACCAACAAGTTATATGTGCTTCCACAGATATTATGCATATTAGCAGATAATCCTATATACATTTATGCTACTTATCACTTTCTTCTCTTTTTACCCAATGACAAACATCCACTAGATTTTGATTTTTTCCCATAATGAAATAATTTAGATATTGTTCGATGTCAACACATATGCTGCTACTGCTGCTAAGTCACCTCAGTCCTGTCAGACTCTCTGTGACCCTATGGACAGTAGCCCACCGGGCTTCTCTGCCCATGTGATTCTCCAGGCCAGAATACTGGAGTGGATTGCCATGCTCTCCTCCAAGGGATCTTCCCAACCCAGGGATCGAACCTGTGTCTCTGATGACTCCTGTACTGGCAGGCGGGTTCTTTAGCACTAGCTCCACCTGGGAAGTGTGTCAACACATATACATCCGCCTTATTCATGCTACACAATATAAATATGCCATTAAACTTGCAATGAATATTTAGTAGCTAAAAATACTTTTTTTATTACAAGTAATGATGCAAGGATACATTTTTATATTCCTTCACAAGCATTTGTAGTAGACACCAAGAATTATAACTGTTGCATTATAAGATATATTTTATTTTTTAATAGTTATGGCCAAAATGTCCTTCAAAAAAAGAAAAAAGATGTACTTATTTACAGTCTTACCAGTGGTACCTGAAAGTACTTGTTTACGAATATCCTCACTAGTAAAAGATTTTTTCAGCCTTTGACCTCATCACTCTGATAGACGAAAATGTCTCTTAGTTTTAGCTCATATTTTAAAATATATGTTACCTGGTTTAATTCTTGCAACATTTTGAGGTAAACACAATTAGTATTACAGACAGTATACACATGTCTCCAGTAGGACACGAATAGTCACACAAAGTGGCATAAATAAGGAATAAAAATAGATTCACTTCAGTTCCAGTAATGTTTTGACCGCCAAATGAAATTGCATTCAATTTATATTTGTTTTTAGTTTTTCAAGTTGTTAGTGTTGCAGAATTAAGGATGAGGCATTTCTAAACCCATGTGAGAGGGAAAAAAAAAAACTTAGAACAGCTCTAACATGATAGACTTGAGTGATCTGTGGCTATTTATACTTAAAGCCAGTCAAAAGTAAATAAAATTTAAAGTTCAGTTCCTCAGTTGCATTAATCATATTTCAGGCATCCACTGGGCACATGTGGCTAGTGGTTGTCATAAGGAGCACACAGATATTCAGAATTCCATCTTTCCCAGAAGATAGCAGTAATAATTTCAACCTTAAGAAACTCACAACCCTTTTCTCCTCAAAGAAGAATTTTCAGTTATCTTATTTTTATATAGAATAGTAACATATGCAGTCTTCAAAATAAAATAGCTTGTAGGACACCAACTAGAAAGTCTGAATAAAAACAGAAACCATGTGTTAGAAAGCACTGGAAAACTGCTGACAAAAATTGGTCTCCAGATTCCAGACGGAAGAAGCTTGGAAAGGTAAATTGGCATCTGCAGTCAGTTTTTGACTGTGTACATATACAATTCTGAAATAGGAGGTGTTACATAATTCTGTCTAGCAGAGAAGATAAACATCACCTAAGACTGTGTATTTTTCTTATATAATATCTGAGATTAAGCCAAACTTATTAGGCACAGAAAAGGCAGAACTAACTGAACACCCAAAAGAAATATATATACATAATAAAAATATACCCACAGTATGGAAAATTTCCCACCTATTTTACAAGGCCAGCATTACCTTGATATCAGAAGTTGGACAAAAATTTTTTGAGAAAGGATAATTGTAGACCAGCCTCTTACAAACATAAATACAAATGTCCTCAATAAAATGTAGCAAACCAAATTCAGCTTTTTATATATGAGAAGGACAGAGACAGAGGGAACAAAATATATACCATGTAAACAAATGCAGAGAATTCATTTGATCAAATTATACACACATTTGTGGAAAAAATTAGACAGACTGTGAACAGCAAGGGAGAGGGGAAAATAGGGAGTTCCTAATCAATGGACATAAAATGGTTGCCAGGGGTTTGGGGGAGAGAGGGATGAATAGACAGAGCACAGAGGATTTTTAGAGCTGTGAAACTACTCTATATAATACTATATTATATAATACTATATAATACAATGATGGATACATATCATTAGACTCTTGCTCAAACTCACAGAATGTACAAGAGTGAACCCTAATGTAAATGATGAACTTTGGATGCTAATAATAGTCAGTATAGGCTCATCAATTGTAAAAAAGGGTACCAGTGTGGTAGAGGATATTGATAATGGGTGAGGCAATGCATGTGTGGAGGCAGTAAGTATATGGGAAATCACTGTATCTTCAGCTTAAAATTGCTGTGAACCTAAAACTGCTATAAAAAATAAAGTTTATCCCCAAAATCATACAAAAATAGGATTAGGAAGTATTTCCCTAATCTGTTTTTTTTTATATTTACAAAAATGTACATAAAATGTCATTCTCAATGATGAGATATATAATCCTCACCTCTTCAAGGATATCGTAAATGAAACAACAGCCACTATCACCACCTTGTTCAATATTATCCTTGAAATCCTGCCAGTGTGATAATGCAATAAAGTAAATCAAAGTCATGAGAATTGGAAAATAAAGAATAAAACAAGTATTAAACCAGGTAGCAGAATTGTGGTGCATATAGATATTACAAATAAATCTACAGACAAATTATTAACAATGATATATGAATCTGGAAAAGTTGCTAGATATAAGGGCATCAAGATAATAAAATCTTGATATTTTGATATACCAAAAAATGGAAAAAGCAATTTTAAAATTATAAAATGTATAAGATGATCAAAAATATTACTTATCTCAGAAAAACATAACAGATGTGCAAGTCACTGTACTAAAAACAAAACAGTATCAAAAAAATTAAAGAAAGTCCATATTAACTGTATCTGTGAATTGAAAGCATCAACATAATCAAGATGTCAATTTCCAAATTGATTTGATACTACCAAGAAAAAAATCACAACTGAATGTTTTGGGTAACTGACAAATGAATACTAAAATTTATCTGGAAATAAGCTAAACAGCTAAGAGTAGCCAAAACAACATTAAAGAAGCAGAACAAATTTGGGAGACTTAGCCAGATATCAAGATCTGTCATAAAGATTTATAGCCACAAATTGGAAACAGCACAAAACCCATCAAGCTGCCACATGTATGGTTTTTCCAATTCTCTCATCTTGAGGACTGAAATCATACTGTGAATATGGGAACTTCAAGAGTGTTGAGGTCACTGTAAGAGAAACAATTTTACCTTGGGGATGAGGTAGTTTCTGAATTTAATGTCACGGGTCACCGCATGGGGCAGGTTGGTGGGGATGAGGTCAATGTATCTCTGGATTTCATGCACCACAGCATCCATGTAGGGCATGTGGCTCCTGTCCTGCATGCAGGGGCTCCGGTGTCTGCCAATCACACGGTCAATCTCTTCCTGGACTTTAGCTGATAAGACACAAGTAAGACTACTGGAAAAAAGAGGAAAACATATGCCATATTTTCATACCAAATCAGGGTGACATAAAACTCTGTAAAGGTGTTCCAATGTCGTTATAAACATCAATTATATGTCCAATACTTTGGCCACCTCATGCGAAGAGTTGACTCATTGGAAAAGACCCTGATGCTGGGAGGGATTGGGGGCAGGAGGAGAAGGGGACGACAGAGGATGAGATGGCTGGATGGCATCACCAACTTGATGGACATGAGTTTGAATAAACTCCAGGAGTTGGTGATGGACAGGGAGGCCTGGTGTGCTGCGATTCATGGGGTCACAAAGAGTCGGACACGACTGAGTGACTGAACTGAACTGAACTGATATGTCCAGAAGTACACCTAGACTTAGAGAGTTATCATATTACAAGTACAAATGACCCTCATACAAGCTAGACTTTGAGATAAATCTGTGCACACCTATATATTAGCATGAAAAGTGAAAAAAGTGTTAGTCACTCAGTCGTGTCTGACTCTTCCTGACCCTATGGACTAGTAGCCCACCAGGCTCCTCTGTCCATGGAATTCTCCAGGCAAGAATACTGGAATGGGTTGCCATGCCCTCCTCCAGGGGATCTTCCTGACCCTTGTCTCCTGCATCACAAGCAGATTCTTTACCATCTGAGCCACCAGGGAAGTCTATATATTAGCATTGATGCATGCTAAGTCACTTCAGTCATGTCCAACTCTTTGCAACCCTATAAACTGTAGCTTGCCAGGTTCCTCTTTCCATGGGATTTTCCCAGCAAGAATACTGGGGGGGTTGCTATGTCCTCCTCCAGGGGCTCTTCTGAACACAGGGATCGAACCTGCCTCTCTTACATCTTCTGTATTGGCAGGCAGGTTCTTTATCACTAGCACCACCTGGGAAGCCCATATATTAGCATAGAGGATCATTAATAAAAAATAGAAATGATGAAACACTTTAAACACAAGCAGTATATTATTAAGTCAAGAAATTTCTATCATCACATGTAGGAGACAGGAAGAATAAAAAAAAAAAAAAAGCAGGCACCGGCAAGGGTTGCAAAAAAAATTTATAATTATGATAAACCGGATGCTATAAGGCATGAGACTCTTGGAACGAGTCCAGAGGGAACAGTTCATAATCTTGAAAACAAGATATGATCCTGGGGTCGGAAAACCAGGGTCTCAGAGTCACAGGTTTTACATATCTGGTGGAAAATCTATAGATAAGAAAATTAGTCTTAGTTACTGATTTGTTATTGATTACCGTTTCCTAAGTACTCAATGGTTAATGATCATTTTGTTCTTTGGCCCTGAAGGCCACATGAGTTATAGTTTAACTCCCCACATATTCTTTCATTCACGGCTGAAAGTATAATAAAGCTGGCTTGGATTCAGTTTCGGCACCTTCACCTTGGAGCGGTGTTGGTCCCCCATCCTCGCTTTTCCATGAATTCTTGTGTCTCTTTTCTCATTCTTGCCATATCGCACTTTCGGAATCCCTGCTTGTCGAGTTGGTCTAGACAAGTGGCGCCAGAAAAGGGACCCGAAAGTGAATCCAGCCTGCGAGGCTAGCTCCTAGCAGCAGAGAACGCAGGGAAATCCGGCCAGCTCGGCAGACAAAGAAAGTACTTTAAGTACACCCTTGCGGATTTGTCAATCAGGGTAACAATGGGGCAAAATCCTTCTAAACATAGTGACTATATGCAAGTACTAAAAACTTTGTTAAAAAGTTCGGGGGTTGAGATATCTCACTCCTCTTCTAAAAAATTGTTTTCTGCCATTGAAAAATATTGCTACTGGCTAGATCCAAATAAAGGGACTTTGAGGCATGAAGAACGGCAAAAAGATATGCGTTGCCTGCGCCGTGCCTACCAACGCGGCGAAAAGATTCCTTTGTCTGTATGTATGGTCAGTAGGGAATCTTATAAACACAGCTTTAGGACCGCTGCAATCTGAAACCTCAGATTCAGGGGATTCCGTAGAACAAACACAAGAACAAATGGAGAAAATGAATTTATATTATAACATAGGTGATGAAAAAGAGAAACAATCAATAAAAATAAAAAATAAGAGCCAAAAAAAAATGATAGAAATCAAGAAAAGATCTTTCTCGCTCAACCAACTACACCTTCGGTCGAGCCCCCTCCTTTCAATCCTGAAACCCCTTGAGATGATGGATTTGCTTTTAAACCACAGATAACTATGCCTAATAAAATGACGCCTTTACAAAAGGGAGTTTGTATGGCACAATTGCAGGGGGATGAAGACGCTTTAGTTCTCCCTGTGGCTGTAACTCAAATCCCACCAGATCCTCAATTCCCACAAGGAGGAATGCATTATGATTATAATGCCATACCATTTAAAACTACAAAGGAGATAAAACAGGCATGTACCCAATATGGAACTAATTCTCCTTATACCATGGGACTAATTCAGGGACTTTCAAAGCTGAACGGTTAATTCCTTATGATTGGAAAATGATAGCCAGAACTTGCCTATCCACCTCAGAATTTTTACAGTTTAGGACCTGATGGCAAGATGAGGCAAATCAACAAGCTCGCAGAAATGCAACAGCCAACCCGCCAGTTGCTATAACACTTGATCAATTAATGGGTAATGGGGCACATTTTGACATTCAAGCTCAGTTACATCTTGATAATCAATTACTCACTCAAGTGAGAATGATATGTTTAAAAGCCTGGGAGAAAATAAATCCACCCGGACAAGGCTCGATTTCACTTACCCAAATTAAATAATCAGATAGGGAATCTTATGTAGATTTTATTGCCAGGCTACATCAAAATTTAAATAAAACAGTCTCACAACGTGGTTTGAGAGATTTGCTGATGCCAGTTCTTGCTTATGACAATGCTAACTCAGAATAGGAAAAGGTGATTCAGGCTCTCAAAGCACAGGGTGCCCCTCTAGAAGAATATTTTAAAGTTTGCCAGGATACTGGGTCAGAACCATATACAATGCAACTTCTGGCTCAAACATTGTCTAAAGCTAATAAAAGACAGATATGAGATGTCACCAACATGGAAAATTAGGACATATTAAAATAGACTGTAAAGGAAGAAGAAGATAGTCAGTCAGTTGATAAATTATACTATTGGTTCTGATGCCACTCCTGAATTTGTATTGCTTTTGGAAGTATATGCCTTAAAACAGGATATCAAAAGTGGCTGTCAGTTGTCAAAGAATCAAATGAAGATAAGACTTCCCTCTTTCTGTTAACTGCTCTTACTTTTTTAGAAAAAGAGGAAACTTCCAGCATGATGAATCTACCTGACCTTCCTGATTGTGTTGCTGAAATTTGCCATGGTATTGAAAATTGGTTAAGATGAAAATTATGTAAAGGATCAGAAGGTCCTTATTATTAAATGTTGCAGAAGGCTCCATTATCGATTGGGGACCCCAAGAAATCCTTAAACTTATAAAATCTAAAGTGTTTTCCCCATGGTTATATAATGATAAGACAATTAGTACTTATGGTAGTCAACCCCTCATATGACATGGGGTAGGATTAGCTCCCCCTGTGCCTCGTTTAGATCATTATCCTATTCATGATAAAATATGGAAAATATCCATGATATTAAAAAAACTAATTGCTTGGAAAAGATGATATACTGAATATATTTTAAATGACCCAATTTTACAAAAAACTCTATCCACACTATTCAGACTTGTGTAGAAATTCCTTTGGTTTTTATGATCAGACCAACATAATATGATCCAATTTGAGATTAGTAACATCTATTAACTGTTCATTTTATACATGTATAAATAATACCATTCCTTTTGATAAAAGTTGACAGTATTTACATTCTTAAAGCCAAAACTAACATATGGGTTCCAGTTGATTTACAACAACCTTGACAAGAAAGCCCTACATTTTATGTCATTGAAGAAATATTAAAAAATTATAAACATGTTAAATGTTTTCTGAGATTGATAATTGCTGCCATCTTAGACATTATTGCTATTACCACTACAACAGCCGTAGCTGAAATGGCTCTTCATAAATCTGTGCAAACAGTTCATTTTTTACAAGAATGACATAAAGATGCCTATGTCCTTTGGACCACTCAACAAAAAAATGATAGAAAGTTGGCCTCCCAAGTGACCAACCTTCAACAATCTGTTATTTTGTTAAGAGATCAACTAGTCAGTTTACAAAAACAGGTGAGACTAAAATGTGATTGGAACTATACTTCCTTTTGTATAACAGCTTTCAAATATAATAAGACACAATTCAGATGGGATAAAATTAAACAACACCTATTGAACCAAGATAATATTTCTGTAGATATTCAAGGTTTACAACAAGATATATTAAAAGCTTTTAATAAACATCTCGATGTAATTTCTGGATCATATTTTCTTGATACTGTTGCTGATAATCTTTCTTGTCTTAATCCCTTAAAACAGATCAAGACATTTGGATATGGAATTGCTCTGGTTATGGGAGTGCTATTAATTATGTGTTTGTGTTTCTTTATAGTCTAGAGAAAAACAATCAAGAGACAACACAGCCAACAACAGCAACTAACATTTCTCACCATTTCTTATCACGTACAAAATCAAAAAGGGGGAGATGTAGGAGATAGGAAGAATAAAAGAAAAACAGGCTCCAGCAAGGGCCACAAAAGAAATTTATAATTATTGATAAACTGGATGCTATAAGGCATGAGACTCTTGGAACGAGTCCAGAGGGAACAGTTCATAATCTTGAAAAGAAGATATGATCCTGGGATCAGAAAACCGACCCCAGACTATTTCTCAACCGGCGTCTCAGAGTCATGTGTTTTACGTATCTAGTGGAAAATCTATCAATAAAAATAGTAGTCTTAGTTACTGATTTGTTATTGATTACTGCTTCCTAATCACTCAATGGTAATTAATGATCATTTTGTTCTTTGGCCCTGAAGGCCGCATAAATTATAGTTTAACTCCCCACATATTCTTTCATTCACTGCTGAAAGTATAATAAAGCTGGCTTGGATTCAGTTTCAGCACCTTCACCTTGGAGTGGTGTTGGTCCCCTGATCCTCACTTTTCTATGAATTCTTGTGTCTTGTTTCTTATTCTCTTGCCATATCGCACTTTCAAAAACACAGCTTGTTGAGCTGGTCTTGACAATCACAGAAAGAAAAACAGGAATCAAGTAGTATTATTTTAATATAAAAATAATATACAATGTTTTATAAATCAAATTGTATAACTGATGTGTGTATGGTTTGCAATTGTATATGTATTGTGTGTGTATTTATTTGCAACTTGAAATGCTATCTTACTTAATGTTTAAAAAGGGAAAAAATTCTTTTAGGTACATCTTCATCTAAATAGCATATATCTTTTTCTAAATCTAACCTTTTAAAGTACTTTTCAGACTGTGAAAATATTCTCAGGCTTTCTCACCAAATTCCTAGAATTTCTGCTATACTTCAACAATATAGCTCCCATCTTCCCTACCCTAGCATTATGATGCTTCATATTTAGAACAGGGAAAGATTTCTGTAAAAATAAGTGTCTACTTCTTAAGAAAACCAATATTGCATTGTAGGCCAATTTATGCTGGTTGTGCCTGCTGCAAATCCCTTCCCATGAAGTCCAGACACTTAACCAAAATTTTTTATTGATGAAATCCATAGCTTTATTGCCTTTGCTACTACTCATACTGTCTTCACTTTTCTCAGCAATCCTCCCTACTATACAAATTTGTCTTACTTTCACCTTTTTTAAAAAAATATTTCGGCAGCTTATAGCTGGTGGCATAGAAATTTCAAAACTAAAGCTTCTCTAAGAGAAATTATAAGACAGAAGACCCAATATCTTCCCCGAAACTTACCCTGCCCACCATGTTATCATACCTGTGACCTCTGGGTGCTTCAGCAGCAGGAGGAGCCCATATCTCAGCGTGGTACTTGTTGTCTCTGTCCCAGCTCCAAACAAATCAGACACAGTTGCTATCAAGTTTTCAAAAGTAAACTCCATCTCTTGATTGTGCTTTTCCTATGAGTTATTTGATTTAATTATCTGTTAGTTTGCCAGCATAAATAATTAAAATCAATCCAAAATAACACACCCTGTTAAAAAGCTAAACAAACCTAGACACTCGAGTGCAGTACTACAACTGGCAAAGTGTGTGGACTGGGCTGATGCAGTCTTGATTTCCTCCTCCTCATCCCTAGCTTGCCTAAAAACTTTATTCCAAGCCTCTTTTGCAGGTACACTGGTCAAGTAACCTACTTCTTACCAAAGAGCTTGCTGATGCCAGTTTCTCTTTCTTTCTTCATAGTCAAAACACAGATACAGAGGTAGAAGCGGTGTAGTCATCATTTTGAAACATGAGTATCTGAGCATGAAAATGAAACCTAAATACTTAAATATGCTGAAGAAAACTGGAAGGCACTTGAGTTCAATGTACTTCATGACTAGTCCTGGACTTCCCAACATAAGAGTCTCTGTGAATCCATTCTTTCTCTTTGTAATCTATTCTAGGATGTGCTGGATGTTAGCTTTTTCACATTTTCAACTTCTTCATGGGTCTTTAGGCAGAGTCCAGATAAAATGGTTTAAAAGAAAAAGAGAATTGCAAACTCTTGATTCTGGTTTATAACATTTTTCAAGATATGGCTCTAATTTGCTCATTTCTATCAATAAAGGTTGTGTTTGCCTACAAAAAAAAAGTTAACAGTGGTTTAAAGAAATAGTGAGTTTATTTATCCCACATACAAAGACAAAATGGGGCCATCCACTACTGTATTCCAAGATGTGAGGCAATAGGCAGCTTGGTCGAGGAAACGAGTGCAGATGCTCAGAATAAGGAATTAACTGAATAAAGTTCTCCCAAGTTGGAAGTTGGGAGAGTAAAAGCCCTTCACAAAGACAACTAAGGTGGGTTTAGAGGAGGGATATATGTGACATAAAATTGGTAATAACAATGGAACAATCTGAAATACTGACTACACAGGTCATGAACATACCAAAAAATAATCATTTTTTCCTATTCAGTCCTCTAGACTAGCATTAATTTAATAAGACTCTTATAATCCCCAAGTGACCTGTGGCATGCCCAGTATTATGTAATCCAACACCATTAAGATAAACTTAACCCTATCACAGTTGTACCTGATAGACAAAAGTAGTTATCCCCATTGGTAACATCACCTTCACACAGTTTCTAAGTTTGTCAACTCAAAATTGCTCTGAGGCCAAGGAGAGTAGAGTTCTTATAAATTGTTATTGCTATTTCTATCTGTTCAAGTGAATTTGAAGGGCCAGTGGTTATGTATACATAGCCTATCAAAAGTAAGCTAGCCTATACAAAACCTTGCTGAAAGAAATTAAAGAAGACCTAAATAAACGGAAATATATTCCATGTTTATCTATTGAAAGATTTAGAATAGTTAAGATGGCATTACTCCCAAACTGACCTACAGATGCAACATGATCCATGTGAAAATGGATCAGATTCTACTAGGATGGCTAGAATCAAAAAGACAGATAATTAGAAGCACTGTCAAATATGTGAATAAACTGTAACCTTCATACACTGCTGATGAGTATATAAAATGGTGCAGTCAATTTTATGTGTAAGTTTTCTTCTAAGAGTTTTATAGCTTCAATTCTTACATTAAGACTTTGATCTGCCACAATTCCTTTGAAGGTTAAATATAAAGTTATCATCTATCTGTGCTGTGCTCAGTTGTGTTCAACTCTTTGTGACTCCATGGACTACAGCCCACCAGACTCCTCTGTCCCTGGAACTTCCCAGGCAAGAATACAGGAGTGGATTGCCATTTCCTATTTCAGGGGATCTTCCTGAGCCAGGGATTGAACTCCCATCTCCTGTGTCTCTAGCACTGGCAGGCCGATTCTTTGCCACTGTGCAACCTGGGAAGCCCACCAACAACTCTATCACTAGGTATATACCCAAGAGAAATTAAAACATATGTGTATACAAAACTTGTGGGGCTTCCCCCGTGGTGATAGTAGTAAAGAGTCCGCCTGCCATTACAGCAAGTGTAAGAGATAAGGGTTCAATTCCTGGTTTAGGAAGATCCCCTGGAAGAGGCCATGGCAACCAACTCCAGTATTCTTGCCTGGAGAATCCCATGGACAGAGGAGCTGACAGGCTACAGTCCATAGGGTACAAAGAGTTGGACATGACTGAAGCAACTTAACAAACACATACATACATAAAACTTGTACACACACACACACACAAAAAAAAACTTATACACAAATGTCCACAAACTCATGAAAACCAAAATAGAAGGAACCAAATTGTCCATCAACCAACAGATATATAGTATATGTGCTGCCAAAGCGAGCACAACAAACAGATATATAAAATGTAGTATATCCACACTGAAATGCCATTTAATCCTTTAAAGGAATGAAATACTGATGTGTGCTACATCATCAATGAACCCTGAAAGCATTAATTGAAAGAAGCTAGACACAAAAGACACATATTGTGTAATTCCATTAATATGAAATGTCCAGAATAACAAACTTATAAAAATGGAAGATGGGTTAGTGAAGCCTAGAACTGGGGAGATTGGGGAGGAATAAGAGTGACTCCAAAAGTATATGAGGTTTCTTTTTAAGGTGATAAAAATATTCAGAAATTGATCGTGGTGGTAGTTTTTCAACTCTGTGAAAATACTGAATTGTATACTGAATGTGTGAGGGATATAGTATATAAATTATACTGAATAAAGATGCTATAAAAAAATAAATATGATAGTGAAGTCCAGAGAAACAATAAGGGTTTTAAACATAGCACTGATGAAACAGCCACTGTTAAATGGAATACCAGACATCTTAGAGCCTCCTTAACCCAGAATTATTGGAGAGACTTCATAGCATAATGAGAATCCAATCCCTCAAATTATATGCAAAATATCAAGAACTCATATAGGTGCATCTTTCTAGGACAGTTTCCTTATTCCTAATCAGATTCTCAAATCAACTGGGACCCAGAGAGACAAAAATCATTGCTCAAGCACCAGAGAAAGCAGAGAGCAGATTTGCTTCTTCCTTCCTCCCATTTCTCTAAGCCACTCCATGTGCTTCCCTTTATTCTGTTCAAAACACATGATTTGAGCAGTCCAGTTCAAATCCATGAGCAATTCTTCGAATGTCATCTTCATCAGCATCTTTGACTCCTTGCCATTTTAGCCTACTAACTGATTTCTCATTTCTGCCCAGTGCTATAAAGTGGTTGAATAAAATAATGATGGCCTCAGATGAAGAAATTTCTTTCTCTAGAATTAGCTTCTACAGTGCTTTTTATAGCTTTTACTGGATTCTGCCTTTCCCCAGTTCAAGAGCGGCTTTGCACCTACACAGATTTTTTTATGACACCTATATTGTTCTTGCCACAGTTTCCACCTCGACCCTACCACTAATCATATTCACTATTAAGATTTACTATCTGAATTTTTCCCTCCTTGGTTGAACTTCTCAGGTAAGAAATTTGATCTTTTTACTGAGATTTCCCAGACAGTCCCTAAAATTTGGCTCTCATCCTCTCTTCTAACTAAAACTAATCTTTATAGATCTCTGATAATATGACAAGATGGACAGATTGATTTTATTTCAGAATCCTCTGCATTTCTATGTTCCAGACTTTCCTCAAGCCAAAGTCCAAAGAAATTAAAAATCTCATAGCTGGTCCTTGAGCTCCATTCTTATTGTACAGGTCATTCTACAGAACTCCCAGGATAATCTTCCCCAGTAATTATTTTCATTCTACTCTTGTTCTGGTTCATACATCTACCTGAAAAAATCAAAACTTCTCATTCACGTTTACTTGAAGGACACCAACCTCCAACTCTATATCTGTCCAGAATTATTTCTGGTTACACTCAGCTAAGGCTTCTCTCTTCTATCCACCTAGTCTCTGTCCCACAAACACCTCTGAATCTCTCATGACATCATTCTACCAATCTGAAATTCCCTCCCCGATGACTTGTTGCAAATATTTGAAGATATACATCAAGCTTCAGGACATACAGGAAACCCAAGCAGGCTAAACCCTTCCTTCTCACTCTCCCACATGCTACGTGAAATGATCACACCCACCTTCCTTTTATGGCTCAGTATTTCGTATTTCTCACTTGTCTGCACTTCCATTTCACCTGAGATGTGTGTTCTCTTTCTTCTCAGCCAGCCTATTAGTACCCAACAGACAAGGTCCATGTATCCCAGTTATTTAACAGGTCAATTTTAAATCTCCCATGATGCTCAAACCAAATCCATGCACAAACAGTACCCAAAGTGCTAATCAAGCATTTCTTCTCTAACCATTAAACATCCCTAATAAGTACAGAACAAGTTAATGAACAAAAAAATTCACGCAAACAGATAACCAATCTGTCATCAACATTTTACCTGTTCCATTTTGATCAGGAAACAATCAATGAAGTCCCGAGGATTGTTAATGTCCAGAGTTGCTTGATGTTCTTTTACTTTCTCCAAAACATAGCTTTTTACATAAGCAAAATTTTTAAGTACTTTGTTATGACTCCCTGGGAAATAGTCGATGAGAATAGGGAAATTGTTGCAGACCTTGAAGATTAAAAATATGTATTTATTAAATTAAAAATATACGTTGAAGACATATATACCATATCCCAAGCCCTGGTTAGAAACCGAAGTGAATAAAAATGGTCTATATCTTCAGGAGGATCTTTTTATATTATACATATAAAATAATTCTTTATGCTGATAGAGGTATTTAAGGGAGAAAACTCTGACCAGGTGATAAATGTTGACAGTAATTTCCTATATTCATACAACAACTTTATGTTATTAAAGCATTTTTATGTCAATTCTCTCTTTTTCTAAATTAATTCTTCTTTATAACCTTGAAATACAGAGTAAGATGAATTACTATGATGCACATTTTATAGATGAAGACAGAGGTCAAGGAAGTTTGGAAGTTTTATCATTCCAAGCCCAATCACCTGGTCAGCTAGGATACTAACTAAAGCATCAAACACCCCTGCCCTGGTCAGTGTTCCCGGTGGCATCACTGTTCACAAACTTTCTTCCTCTCTGAAAGAGATATTCTCTTTCTTCTTAAAGTAGGATATTTCTGCTAAGTAATGTGATGAGGAAATTACTAAGTGTGATTGGAGGACAAGCCTGTGAACAATGGAAACCTTCCAGTAAGGGCCTGGACGTTCATTGAGTGCTGTGGGCATGCTTTTGGGCAGTCACCAAAGTAGTTTATGGAAACTGGGTTTTGGTGGGATAGTGGAAAAACCACTGGCCAGGGAGTCAAGAGTCTTGAATTCCAGCTTTATATTCAGGCATTTCTTTTCTTTGTAAAATAAAGGCACAGCCACCTTTCTCAGATGTTTACTTTATGACACTAAGGCAGGACTGTTACATTTGAACATTCATTTAGAATAACATCAGCAAAAATGATACAGTAGACAACTCAAAAGGCCTATCCCTCTTTTAAAAAGTGTCAGAAAATTAAGCAAATACTATCAGAATCAACTTGTCAGAACTCTAGAGCACCAAGGTTTATAGCAATCACATAAATGTTGAATCAAGGAAAAGACAACTTAAAAACAGCAGAAAAGATCTGTTATTTTTTTTCCCTTGTCCTACCTCCTTCCTTGGCAGTGGCCTTAACAAGGGCAGCTTGTGGTATGGGAGCCTGGTTCCTCATTCTGGTGGGACCAGAGCAGACTTCACTAACAAAGAACTGTGTATCTGCGTTCTAACCTGCCTGGGGCCACCGGAGGCACTGACTCAGGCACTTGTTTTTGTTTCATTTTACTTGAAACTTAGGGTAGAAACACAGTAGGGATTCTCAAAGACCTGGCAAGGTTAATGAAAAACCCACAGTTGCCTGGAGCAAAAGATTACAGTTAAGGCACACAAAAGAGCACCAAACTCCAGAAAGAACAGCTGGGGAGGGAGTGCCTTTAAGAAATTAGGGCATCAAAAGCACCCACATATACTGAGGAATTTAGAAAGCTATACACATGCCCAGGGCAGGACACCTGCTAAGAAAAGACTTAAGAAGAGACTAAGCTTTCGCCTCTGGCTGATCTCTAGGCTGAGTGCAAGTAACAAGCAAAGACCAAGTGAGAGTTGAAAATAACCTGGCTAAGGGATTCCCGGGCGGCCCAGTGATAAGAGAACCCACCTGCCAATGCAAAAGTTCAGTCCGGGTCAGGAAGATCCCCTGGAGATGGAAATGGCAACCCACCACAGTATTCTTGGGATACTGGGAAATCCCTGGGACAAGCCAGGATACTGGGGAAAGCCTGGGAAATCCCATGAACAAAGGAGCCTCACAGGTATAGTCCATGGGATCACAAAGAGTCGGACATGACTGTGCAACTAAGCATGCAAGGACAAGTCTAGAGGAGTCATTTCTTTCCCTTTATTTCCTCCCTTTCTCCCTTTCTCCTTTCCTCCCTTCCTCTCTATCTCCATCTCCATCTCTTTGTCTCACCTTTCTTTTCTTAGGATCCTCACATCCAGTGACATTGCTATCCACAGACTCACAGATATGAAACCAAGCTATAGAGGGAGAGGAGAGGGGCAATACAAGGGTAGTGAGGGAAAAGGGGATTTTTGGGGATTATATGAAATCTTGTGGGTGAAACTTCTGAAAATTGTAAAGCACTAAGAACTTAAAAAATATTTTATTCAATTTTTTAAAAAGAAAAGCAAAGCAAAAAAAAACCCAAAAAACTCTATCCAAACACTAGCTGAACATAAGCTAAAGGAACAGAAATATCAGCAACCACACTAGACAAAAAAAAAAAAAAAGAGATTGTGCCAGAACAGTTTAGAAAAGTCACTAAATAAATGAATAGCTACAGCTTTCAAAAGTCAAACAAACAAATAGAAACTATATCAAACTAAAAAACAAAGGAAAGAGGGGAAATCTGATTCCCAGTCGCCACATTTTAATATCCAAAATGTTCAGTTTTCAAACATTCTCTTCACAGCTTGGTCCATACTGAATTCTGAACTTGTCAGAGAAAAGAACACAGATGACTTCTCAGGAAAAAAGGAACCTGACCTTACCTGTATCCATGGGGAGCTCATAATCCGGAGATTTTCATTAAATTTGTCTAGCAAATTAAGAAAATTCTGATCTCTATAATCAAACCTATTTTGGAAAATAATGGAGCAGATCACGTTGCAGGGAGCACTGCCCAGGATGAAAGTGGGATCACAGGGTGACCCTAAAGAATTGAAAAGATTTATAAAACACTGTTAAAATATAAATATAAAACTGTGCTGTGGATAACAGATAATTTTAGAATCTCTGAATCAACATCTACATAGAAATTCCCTTATCGGCAAAAATTTAAGCATGCTTAAAATACATTACTATTGCTTTTAACATGAATTGACCATTCCATCCTTGTTTGTTTAACAGACCTTTTTTTTTAAACTTTTTAGCTGGGCTGCACAGTTTGAGGGATCTCAGCTCACTACAAACTGAACCTGGGCCCATGGCAGAGAGAGCCCAGAATCCTAACCATTCAGCCAACAAGGAACTCCCCCATCCTAGCTTGTTTAATAACTGGTTTCCAAAATCTCCATTTACTTCACTGCCCTGAGCCAAATTGCTGGTTATTTTGAAGAATGTAAAAAAATTTTAAAGGTCCGGTTAAAAACAATAATTCAAGGTATCTATCAGTACAGAATCACATCTGTCTGGTAAGCTAGACAATTAAGCACTATGTATGAAGGGAAAAATATTTAGGAACCTGGGAACCTTTTATATATAATAAATAGTTGAAGGAATGACTGGTAGGATCAGAAAAAGAAGAGATTTAAGAGAGAAAGATTATGGAAAAATTCAGGTATTTGATGGAAAAATGAGTAAAAGTAAAAGTCATCCACGCTGTATGAGAAGAAAAAATAACACAGATAAACTACAAGTTGTAAGATTTGTTTGCCTCAAATGAAAGTAAGAATTCTTCATTTCAAACTTCAATCACAAAACAAACAAGAAATGTTAAAATGAAATGTCCATGTGTGTGACAACTAAAATCTGACTTTTAATTTTTCCTGTCACATCACTGGAGAGGAAGACTTACAAAGCAGATAATTTGGAATCCAGACTGAAAATAAGACTCATTGTGACAAGCGCTTCATAAGTCAATACAGCTAGCAGTAGGGGTGAAAAATTACCCTAAGAGTTCTAGTCCCAAATCCAATTGTTTTAAAATGTACTTGGGGTTTTATTTTTATTCACATGATGAGGTCAACAGATCAGGAGATGATAGTCATAGAGAAGATAGTTTGTTCCCAAGAGGAGGGGTACACCACACAGGGCCACATGGGGAAGCACCAAGATTGGTCAGGAGAGAGCATGGAGCAAAGCTTTCATGGGTTTTCATAGAAGAAATGAGCAAGGTGGGGTCAGTATGCTAACTAACCTTAGGATTGGATAGTTTGGGTAATTTCAGAGGGTTCTAGACAGTAGGGAGAAGGCAATGGCAACCCACTCCAGTACTCTTGCCTGGAGAGTCCCATGGATGGAGGAGCCTGGTAGACTGCAGTTAATGGGGTCTCAAAGAGTCAGACATGACTGAGCAGCTTCACTTTCACTTTTCACTTTCACGCATTGGAGGAGGAAATGGCAACCCACTCCAGTGTTCTTACCTGGAGAATCCAGGGACAGAGGAGCCTGGTGGGCTGCCGTCTATGGGGTCGCACAGAGTTGGACACAACTGGAGTGACTTAGCAGCAGCAGCAGCAGCTAGACAGTAGGGATGGTCCCTGGTTGTCCCATAATGCCTTGGGTTGATTTAGGGCAGGGAGAATATTGGCTTGGTGTGTGAGGGTTTCATAAAGTAGGTATCCAGAGGGTATGGGCTCTGGATGGTTGGCTTGAAAATCACAGGCACACTCGTAGAAAAGATGTGATGCTCTATCTCAGGATTAACTGACCTTGGGAGAGGCAGTTGCTCCCCAGGTCTGCAAGGCCTCCCAAGATGTCAAAGTATCATACAATATAGAAAATACAAAACATGGGAAAGGGAAAGTGAAAGTCTCTCAGTTGTGTCCAACTTTTTGCAACCCCATGGACTATACAGTCCATGGAATTCTCTAGGCCAGAATACTGGAGTGGATAGCCTTTCCCTTCTCCAGGGTATCTTCCCAACACAGGGATCAAACCCAGGTCTCCAACACTCCAGGCAGATTCTTTACTAGTAAGGGAGGGGAGATAAATGTAAAGAGAAAGCTGAAGTTGAAAGCAACTAATAGGGAAGGCAGGCTGAAATCTAAATAAATCATTTTATAACCTCGTATTTGTGTACACTTTAGGATTATTCTACAGCATCTATTTTTTAGAATCATAAAACAATACTGTAACTTAGAAGCAACATTGAATAACTCAAGCTGATAATTCTAAAAGTTGTTTACAAGGCAATCACAATGGATGAGGCCTGCACTGAAGGATACCTAAGTAATTAAACTGTAGAAAAGTATCATTACTGGCTAGAACTGTAGGCAATGAGTGTCTGAAGAAACCCTCAGACACCTGAGTAAGGTTGACCATACAAATACAGGCCAATTAAGTGAAAGCACACGCCTTCCAGAGGGGCATGATGAATTCATTCCCACTGTGTCCACTTGACAAATATTCCCTGATGAAACGTTCTGGAATAGATAATCCACACTGACACTATGGGGGGAAAACATTGCTCTCTAACACACACCAAAAAAATGAGACTCAAAACCTCCTATCTTCATGAACTAATGATCTGAAAACAAAAATTTCAAAACAGAATAGGATCAAATGACCTTTAATCCACACTGTATGCACCCTCATGGGTGTACACACACAACAAGTATGGAGACACAAAAGCCCTCTTGGCTCTCTCCTCTCTCTCTCTCTTCTCCAGGGTTGAAAACAATGAACCATATGAAAGATGTGGCTGCCCTTGAAATGTTTCCAAGGGCGTCCCTGTAGAAGAGAGCAGTCTGCTGAGGTCAGAATAATAGAGCATAGATTTACCCACCATTGGTTTTTCTCAACTCCTCCACAAGGCAATGGGCTTCCTCTTGAACACGATCCTCAATGCTCCTCTTCCCCATCCCAAAATTCCTCAAGGTCATGAGGGAGAAGCGTCGGATCTCCTTCCATCTCTTCCCATTGCTAAAGAGGATTCCTACCAGAAAGAGAAACAGAAACTAGGAGGGAGGCCCTAGAGAAGGAGGAGTGAGCTGACACTTGGCAGCCTCAGAGATGGACCAAGCTCTGCCAAGCGGGCTCTTCAAATTCCTCTTTTCCATTCTCCCCATCCCCGTTAGCAATGTTGGACACGTGCACATGCACACCTACCGTATCCTTTATTAACTCTTTGAGACATTGGGAGATTGCCTCTTCCAGAAAACTCTTCTCCCCGATCAATTAGGGCTTCTTTCACTGCTTCATATCCATGCAACACAACAGTGGGCCTCAAGCCAAAATACACTGTGAACACAGGGCCATAGGTGTTTGAGAGCTGAGAAATGGAAATAAAATGTAAATATTAGCAAAAGAAGTCACAATGTGGTCTATTTTGCTCATGATTAATACTGTTATTATCATCATATTGTTGATATTTTATTCTCCCACACATAACTACAAACATTTCTGGATCTTATATATCAGTATTAGTTTAGTCGCTGTCGTGTCCAGCTCTTTGCGACCCTGTGGACTGCAGCACGCCAAGCTTCCCTGTCCATCACCAACTTCCAGAGTCCACCCAAACCTATGTCCACTGAGTTGGTGATGCCATCCAACTATCTCATCCTCTGTCATCCCCTTCGCCCCTCTACTTCAATGTTTTCCCATCAGGGTCTTTTCAGATGAGTAAGTTCTTCGCATCAGGTGGCCAAAGTTTTGGAGTTTCAGCATCAGTCCTTCCAACAAATATTCAGGACTGATCTCCTTTAGGATGGACTGGTTGGATCTTCTTGCAGTCCAAGGGACTCTCAAGAGTCTTCTTCAACACCACAGTTCAGAAGCATCAATTCTTTGGTGCTCAGCTTTCCTTATAGTCCAACACTCACATCCATACATGACCACTGGAAAAACCATAGCTTTGACTAAACAGACCTTTGTTGGCAAAGTAGTCTCTACTTTTTAATATGCTGTCTAGGTTGGTCATGACTTTTCTTCCAAAAGCAAGCGTCTTTTAATTTCATGGCTGCAATCACCATCTGCAGTGATTTTGGAGACCAAAAAAATAAAGTCTGTCACTGTTTCCCCACCTATTTCGCATGAAGTGATGGGACCAGATGCCATGATCTTAGTTTTTTGAATGTTGAGTTTTAAACCAACTTTTTCACTCTTCTCTTTCACTTTCATCAAAAGGCTCTTTAGTTCTTCTTCACTTTCTGCCATAAGGGTGGTGTCATCTGCATATCTGAGGTTATTGGTATTTCTCCCAGCAATCTTGATTCCAGCTTGTGCTTCATCCAGTCCAGTGTTTTTCATGACGTATTCTGCATATGAGTTAAATAAGCAGGTGACCGTATACAGCCTTGACGTATTCCTTTCCCGATTTGGAACCAGTCTGTTGTTCCATGTCCAGTTCTAACTGTTGCTTCTTGACCTGCGTACAGACTTCTCAAGAGGCAGGTCAAGTGGTCTAGTATTCCCATCTCTTTAAGAATTTTCCACGGTTTGGTGTGATCCACAAAGTCAAAGGCTTTGGCATAGTCAATAAAGCAGAAGTAGATGTTTTTCTGGAACTCTCTTGCTTTTACAATGATCCAACGGATGTTGGCAATTTGATCTCTGGTTCCTCTGCCTTTTCTAAATCCATCCTGAACATCTGGAAGTTCACAGTTTACGTATGGCTTTAAGCCTGGCTTGGAGAATTTTGAGGATTACTTTACTAGTGTATGAGATGAGTGCAATTGTGCAGTAGTTTGAGCATTTTTTGGCATTGCCTTTCTTTGGGATTTATAAGTATAATAATTCAACATCCATTCATGATTAAAAAAAAAAAAGCACTCTCACTAAAGTGGATATAGAGGGAACATATCACAGTATAATAAAGCAGAAGACCTAAATACACCTTTCTCCAAAGAAGACATACAGATGGCCAACATGCAATGAAAAGATTCTTAAAATCACTAACAGTTTTAAAAAAAATCACTAACAATTAGAGAAGTGAAAATTGAAACCACAATGAGGTACCATTGTGTACCATCAAAATGTCTACAAGTACTAAATGCTGAAGAGGGTGTGGAGGAAAGGGAAGCCTCTTACAGTGTTGGTGGGAATGTAAATTGGTGCAGCCACTAAGGAGAACAGTGTGGAAATCCCTTTAAAAACTAAAAATAAAACTACCATATAATCCAGCAATTTCACTCTTGGGTATATAACCAGATTAAAAAAAAATGAAAACTCTAATTCAAAAAGATAACACATCCCAATGTTCACAGCAGCACTACTTAAAACAGCCAAGACATAGAAGCAACCCAAGTGCCCGTTAACAGATAAATGGCGTAAGTATATGTGGTATATACATACAGTGGAATATTACTAAGCCATAAAAAAACAATAAAATGTTGCAGGAACATGGATGGGCCTAGAAAATATGCTTAGTGAACTAAGTCAGAAAAAGAAAAATACTACATGATATCGTTTATATAGAGAATCTTAAAAAACACAAATGAATCTATAGACAAATCATAAACAGACTCACAGACACAGAAAACAAATTTGTGGGTAACCAAAATGGGTGAGGGACAAATTAGGGGTAAGAGATGAACAGATAAAAACTGCTATACATGAGACAGAAAAGCAACAAGGCTTACTGTACAGCACAAGGAAATACATTCAGTAACTTGTAACATGCCACCACGAAGATGGCGGCGCCCATCACCAATTGGGCCACAAAGCGATCACACTGCGGGGAGGTGCCAGTGGGAGCCTGGGACATGGGAGCGGCGGTACCACTGAGCACGAGGCGCTGGAAGCGGATCAAGTGCAAAGCAACGTGCTTGTCCTGCGTCTGGAATCCCAGCCCGGGCGGCTGATCACCAGCAGCTCCTCACTAATGGCCCTCCAGCAGCTCTGCGGCGGCGGACAACTCGGCCTGGCCCCAGAAGCATCACCTGGTGGACTTCCTAGCGGCAGTGGGCAGCCACTTCCGGGTGGCGTGAGTTTGGCAGAGTATTTATACCAGGTGGAACCCTGGAGCAAGCGTCCTAGATACATGCTGTGTCTGTCCTTAGTTACTTCAGTTGTGTCTGACTCTTTGCAACCCCATGGGTTGCAGCCCACCAGGCTCCTCTGTCCAGGGGATTATCCCGGCAAGAATACTAGAGTGGATTGCCATGCCCTCCTCCAGGAGATCTTACCCACACAGGGACCGAACTGGCGTCTGCTGCATCTTCTTCACTGCAGGTGGATTCTTTACCACTGAGTCACTTGGGCAAGCCCCTGCATGCTGTAAAGCAAACGCCTACCAAAGGGTCCCCGAGGGCCGCGGATGGTAAGGGAAGGGGGAGTCAGTTTACATCACAGACAAGTAACAAATCCTCAGATTGTTTTCGTTGTTGGACACCATATTCTTAAGAATGAACTTCCGTTACTCAAAATAGGAAAAAGGGATTTCTACATTATAAAGTGGCTTCAGCCATTAAGAAAAATCCTTTCAGTGGTTCAAACAAACGTATCCTTCATTCATTCTCAGACAGATGAACTTAGATTCTTCGATTATGTAAATCAAACCACAGAGAAGGAAGTATACTCCAGACCTCACAGGTGAGTAATTTCATTATTTATATGTTTTTTCTGTTTGTGTAATAGTGGGATATTTTATTTCCTGATCCTTAAACGTTAAGGGCTACCACAGAGAAGTATGATTTCCAGGGATAATCTCTTTTAATAATTACTTTACATGAAAAACTAAATGCTATTTTTCCTGTTCTGTCCTTCTTTCTCTTTTTGAAGACAAAAACAATGAAAAAGAGGCAGTATAAGAAACTATGGGTACTTTTATATCAGGTGTATATCTCACTGGATTTTTTTGTTGTTTAGGAAGCTAATATAGTTCTCCTTAAAACAGGAGAAATGTTAAAGGAAGCCATAGTTGGCATTAGAAATTATGGTAGAAATATTAATAGTTTCTTTTCAAAGAAGAAAACAAAAATCAGTACTTGACTTTTCAGAAAGTTTCTTATTCAGTTTTCCAGTCCTTTTCCTGGGTTCCATAGAATTAAATGTATTCCTAACTTTGTTTTTTTTTTTTTTTTTTTCATTTATTTTTATTAGTTGGAGGCTAATTACTTTACATCATTGCAGTGGTTTTTGTCATACATTGAAATGAATTAGCCATGGATTTACATGTATTCCCCATCCCGGTCCCCCCTCCCACCTCCCTCTCCACCCGATCCCTCTGGGTCTTCCCAGTGCACCAGGCCCGAGCACTTGTCTCATGCACCCAACCTGGGCTGGTGATCTGTTTCACCCTAGATAATATACGTGTTTCGATGCTAGTAAAAAAGGTAGCAACGCTTTATAAATTTATAAACATTTAGTTCTAAGTTTCAAATTCTGTCCCCAGGCAGATTGCAATTTGAGATGAACTGAAAAGTAGCCAACAGCAGCTGTTGAATAGAGGACAATTATATGCGTATATTGAAAGACAAAAAAGGATAAAAATTTTTAGGTCAGATTTAAAGGATTTGGAATCAAGACTTTAGTTAAATTAAGCTCTACATTCACTAGACAAGTTGATCCTCTGGAAATGTTTCTAAAATCTTAAAAATCAAGGTAAGCACCCCTTTTTCCCCTGAGGATCTAGTAAAACATAAACACAAAATGGTTTACAATCAGATTTGTTCTAGAACATCTTACAGGCACCAAAGCATGGCTTTAGAGTTCAAATTCTAGGTGTTTTACTACCTGGGAATTACTTGGAGCAAGTCACTATCTTCATATGCAGAAATGGAGATGTAATAGTACTTGGGTCAATTACAAAATTCTAACAGGAAAAAAGTCAAAACTTTAATATAGTATAAGCTGTATTGCTATATCCCAAAGCATATTTAAATGTTATATGGTTTATCCAGACTTTCCTCTGAGGTTATCTAGATATCTATTATATCTATTATATCTGCAGATATCTATTATAAATGCAGAGATCATCACTGCATTTCAGAACTTCACTCAGTTTGAGGGCCAACAAAAGAAGGTTTTTCTCTTTCCATACCTATCTTGCCTCTGTTTTTCTTTGTACAAGGTTTATAGTAGTAACACATGTGTTACCATAGTAAGTCACATTTTCAATTTGAAATTTATTCAGTATGCTAGAGAAAGGTGCATTACAAGGCTTTTCCCCCTTACAAATTCAGAAAGCTAGAATAGAATGGTAGTCATCTGACCTACCTGAACTAAGTCATTTGCTCTTTTTCAGTTGCTTAATCATGTCCGACTCTTTGTGACCGCATGGACTGCAGCACGCCAGCCTTCCCTATTCATCACTATCTCCTGGAGTTTGCTCAAACTCATGTCCATTGAGTTGGTGATGCATTCAACCACCTCATCCTCTATGTCCCCTTCTCCTCCTGCTCTTAATCTTTCCCAGCATTAGGGTCTTTTCCAATGAGTTGGCTCTTTGCAAGGTGGCCAAAGTATTGGAGCTTCAGCTTCAGCATCAGTCCTTCCAATGAATATTCATTGGAAGTAAGTCATGGATGGCTATAATTTCAAAATTTATGTTTGATGATGGCAGAGTAATTTCAAAGTGTGCTAACAAACATTTTGGAAGCAGGTATTCTATGAAGATGGTACTACTTACTGACAGATTCAAAGTTGTACCATATCAGACTGAATCCGGTTTTTTCTGTTTGAGATCAGTTGCTGAGCCTATTGTTTCTTAGTAAATGGGTATCTTTAGATAAACGTAGCAAACACAATCATATTGTCTTGCCAGTAGTCCTTCATAAATGTCATAACTTTAAAATTTTTAATATCTACAATATACAATTTATCTTAAATTTATGATGTAAGTCATGTCATGAACCACCTGGGGAATTTTAGTAAAATGTGTATGTTCTAAACCTCAGTCCCAAGCCCATGAAAACCTTTAGGGATATGTGTATGTGTGTCCAGATGTTTTTCTTAAAATAATAAAAGTCCATCATTATTTTCACTTAAAAATACTGTGTAGCAAGTATACTATCAAGGGTGAAACAGACCACCAGCCCAGGTTGGATGCATGAGACAAGTGCTCAGGGCTGGTGCACTGGGAAGACCCAGAGGAATGGGATGGGGAGGGAGGCGGGAGGGGGGTTCAGGATGGGGAACACATGTAAATTCATGGCTGATTCATGTCAATGTATGGCAAAAACCACTACAATATTGTAAAGTAATTAGCCTCCAACTAATAAAAATAAATGAAAAGAAAATACTTCGTAATAATGTATAATGGAATATAAAGTGCAAAAAAAATGCAAGAATTTTCTGTATACCTGAAACTAATGCAGTATTGTAAATCAACAGTACTTTATTAAAATGTTATAAAAGACAAAATATGATGGTGATTATTATATCATCTCTGATGTGCTAGGCTGTGGCCTGAGCAATTGGTACTCAGATGATTACTCATTATCATATCAATACCCTGAGCTAGGTTTATTTACCTTGCTTTATAGAGAAAAAGATTAAGGCTCAAATACTCTCCCATTTATTTCTGGTGTCTCACAGTTACTAGAAGACCCAAATATCTTTTTTTAAATTGAAGTATAGTTGTATTTTACAGTGTTGTTACAATCTTTGCTGTACAGCAGAGTGGCTGAGTTTTACACATATATAATTTTTTAAATATTCTTTGACATTGTGGTTTATCCCAGGAGATTGGATGTGGTTCCTTGGACTACACAGTAGGACCTTGCTGTATATCCATTCTAAACATAATAGTTTGCATCTACCAATCCCAAACTCCCAGTCCGTCCTTCCCCTACCCCCTCCCTCTCCCTTGGCAACAAGTCTCCTCTCTACGTCTGTGAGTCTTGCTTCTGTTTTGAAGATAGGTTCATTTGCGCCATATTTTAGATTCCACATATAAGTGAAATCATATGGTATTTGTCTTTCTCTTTCTGACTTATTTTACTTAGTATAATCTCTAGACCCATCCATGTTGCTGTAGCAAATGGCCTCAATTTCTTCTTTTTTATGGCTGAGTAGTGTTCCATTGTATATATGTAGCATATCTTCTTTATCCATTCTTCTGTCAACGGACATTTAAGTTGCTTCCATGTTTTGGCTGTTGTGAATAGTGCTGCTATGAACATAGTGGTGCATGTATCTTTTTGAACTATAGTTTTTCTGGGTGTATGTCCAGGAGTGATTTGCTGGATCATATGGTAATTCTATTTTTAGTTTTCTGAGAACCCTCCATACTGTTTTCCATAGTGGCTGCACTAGTTTACATTCCTACCAACAGTGTAGGAGTGTTCTCTTTTCTGTACATCCTCTCTAACATTTGTTATTTGTAGACTTGTTATACTTAGGCCATTTGGACCAGTGTGAGGTGATATCTCACTGAAGCCTTGATTTGCATTTCTCTAATAGTGATGTTGAGCATCTTTTCATGTGTCTATGGCCATCTGTATGTCTTCTTTGGAGAAATTTTTACTAAAGAGAAGACCCAGATTTCAACACTGCTTAGTCGACCTCTAGTGCCTAAGACATTTATCGGTAATCCCTATGCCAACCTCAGAACCAGTATACAACTGACTGCCTCCAGATCACTTGTAAAGCTCATCCCACGGGAATTCTGACTCAACAGTAATAAATACTAGAAATCTACATGTTTAAAAACCACCCTCAGTGATTCAAATGCCCAGCCCAGTTTGAGATCCGCTGCTATTACTGACAGGAAGCAAGCAAGCATCACAGAGTCAGTGCCAGGACACGCAGCAGCTCATGGAAGAACAATTACTTTCATCTAGCATCATGTCTTGCAGACAGCAGCTTTGTGCAGAATCCAAAAGGATTTTGCTACCACCCAGCTGGCTCTGAATAATGACTTTTTTCTTTCATTCACTCATACTTGTCCTGATCCCAAGCTATTTCCTTAATATCAGGCATAGTTCACTTCTTCACAGACATTAAATTTTCATGGTTGTTCTGAACAAAACATGCAGTTTATATAATAGATGACTTCTTGAATGACATCTCTAATCACAAAACACTTCCCTTATCAATTACCTTCAGCCAAAAATCATAGCAAATGTGGTGAAACAAAGAAGAGAAGCAATACTCCAATCTTTTGCCACATTATCATTTTGATTCAGTTATACAGAAACCTAAATGTTTCTCTACTCAAGAAATGCTTTCCACTCTTCTTGACAATGACAGACAAAAAGTAATATTCCACAGGAGTATTTGCTTTAAAATGATGTATTTTAGTAATTTTAAGATGTTGTAATGTATTTTAATATATATTTTTTAAAGTAGATGTTCACTTACCCTTTGCAAGCCACTGGAGGAACATAAAACCTACTTACATTGCTTAAGGATTTGCCAATGTCCTTAACATCTAACTGTAGGATGTTTCCAAGAATCGGGAGAGGAGTGGGGCCCGGCGGGAGCTTCCCTTTCCCAGAGCTCTGTTTCCAGAGTGAGAGGAGAAGCAGAGAACAGAGGCAGAGCACCAGGGCCACAGCCAGATCCATTGATGCTGTCTCTTCTCACTCAGATGGCTGTGAGCCTGAAATCTAAAGCATTTATAACAGTCCCTGCCGATTCAACCTGTGCCTCTAACTCAGAAAGTGAACAGTCAGCTAGGTCTACTTTAATCTCTCTTTTGAAGGGACTTTAGCCCTGCGATAAAGATTAAAATATGGTTCTGTTTGTTTGCTCTTGCCGTTTTTTTAATGACCCATCTGAACTTTCCAGTTTAACAAGTCAGGGGTGGAACAACCTGGTGAGTTTTCTTTAAACACACCAGGGGGTTGACAACTAGTGAACTAATAACTGATTTAATCAAAAAGTTGCTCAACATTCTGGATTCTCTGATTAGTAACCAGTTGAGAATTTATGACTTTGAGGGCAAACCTTGTATATTACAAGATGCTTATCCTTTAATGCTTTATCAAATACTAATATACTTTGTCCTTGAAAATGAAAGCCTTTTGAAATATTTTACTGTACCATACTAACATTATACCTTCTTAAACAAAAACCAGGTAATATAACTCATACATCTTGAAGGTCTAAACATGTATCAAGTTTTTAGCTAAAAGTAAATTTACACATTTTACCATTAAATTCTCCTCCTCCTCCCCTCAAAAATATCACTAAAAGAAAAAATTTTAATTTTTCTTTTTCAAATGGGGAAAGGGAAATTATTCATAGAGAACAGGAGATGTGTCCAGAGTCCCACAGCTAATAAATGACAAAGCTGTTATTTGAACCAGTTTTAATCTTTATTTTCTTGGGCTCCAAAATCACTGCAGATGGTGACTGAGGCCATGAAATTAAAAGACAGTTACTCCTTGGAAGAAAAGCTATGACCAACCTAGACAGCATATTAAAAAGCAGAGACCTCACTTTGCCAACAAAGGTCCATCTAGTCAAAGCTATGGTTTTTCCAATAGTCATGTATGGATGTGAGAGTTGGACTATAAAGAAAGCTGAGTGCTGAAGAATGGATTCTTTTGAACTGTGGTGTTAGAGAAGACTCTTGAGAGTCTCTTGGACTGCAAGGAGATCCAACCAGTCCATCCTAAAGGAAATCAGTCCTGAATGTTCGTTGGAAGGACTGATGCTAAAGCTGAAACTCCAATACTTTCGCCACCAGATGTGAAAAAATGCCTCCTTGGAAAAGACCCTGATGTTGGGAAAGATTGAGGGCAGGAGGAGAAGGGGATGACAGAGGATGAGATGGTTGGATGGCATCACCGACTCAATGGACATGAGTTTGAGTAAGCTCCAGGAGTTGGTGATGGACAGGGAAGCCTGGTGTGCTGCAATCCATAGGGTCACAAAGAGTCAGACACGACTGAGCGACTCAACTGAACTGAACTGGTATTTGAACTAATAGTCCTCTAATGCCCATTGTGGTACACCGTGGTTTACACCACAGCTGCCTCAAGAACAGTTTTAAGAAAATGAAAAACCAAAGCCCCTAAGCATTAGTTTCTCCGAACGCATACCCCAGTGGGTGTTCACAGAATAACAAGATCACACTAAATAGATGCTCCTTATTTGATGCAAAGATCAAAGGATCATGGTGTCTCAAGAGAAGACATAAAAGATAGGAATTTGCCCTTCTCCATCACTACCAAGGTGAAACTTGCTCACCTACTAAGGAAAGGCAGTCTCAGAAAATCGAGGGGTCAAGCCTTGAGAAAACTTGACTTCCCCCACCTCTCAGTCACCTCCAGGTACAGGGGCTTCGGTTGCGTTCTTTGTTCTGTCATTGTCAGACATGATGGAATAAAGTACACACCGCAAGAAAGGGAGATTTTAGATAGAACAAAAGGTGTGGATTCAGTGGAAGATGGAAGACAAAGACTTCATTGAACAACTCATAGCCCAGAACCATCTCAACACGCACAACTGAACAGGAAATAACATTTAGTGGTCATGAAGTTCTATATGTGACTGGAATCTTGTGCATTACTACATCACTAACAGTAATGATTGTACAAAGACATTCATAAGATCATCATATTTGTTTCTTTATTGAAGTATAATTGATGCACAATTTAGTGATGTGCAGATTTTCAAGTTTATACTTCATTTATAGTTATAAAAATTGGTTATATCCCCTGCGTTGTACAACACGTCCTTGTAGCTTATTTGATACATAGTAGTTTGTGCCTCTTAACCCCACGCCCTCATATTACCGCTTCCTCCCTTCCCTCTCCTCACTGGTAACCACTAGTCTGTTCTATCTGTGAGTCTGTTTCTTTTGTTATGTCCACTTGTATAGAAGCATGTACTTTCCAATAGGATTTTAAGCTGTTTTTGAGGGAATCTTCAGCAAGAGTCCATAGTTCATTGGACATCCTCAGAGAAAAGGAAAATAGTCACTCTGTAAGCAGCTCTTATATTTTTGTATAAAGTTTTCTGGTTTTCAGAGCTCTAAAACCCATTCTGCTAAACTTCTTTACTGCTGTGCTTTCTTTGTATTTCCTTTCCAGTTTCTAACTTTTTAAAGCTATATTATTGTTTGTTTCCTTGTGACATGCTTGTACTAAGTGTTAAGTAATAAATGGTATGGATTTTCTTTTTTTGTTTATTCTGTTTGGTTTTTATTTTGGTTATGCTGGGTCTTTGTTGTGGCGGGCGGGCTTCTCTACTTGTGGTGCTCAGGTCTCCTGCATTGCAGGCAGATTCTTTACCATCTGAGCCCTTTAGTTAATTGGCTGTGCTGTGTCTTAATTGTGGCAGGCGGGCTTCTCTACTTGTGGTGCGCCGGCTTAGTTTCCCAGCAGCCTGTGGGATCTTAGTTCCCCAACCACAAGTGGAACCTGTGCCCCCTGCATTGGAAGGCAAATTCTTAACCACCAGTGGAACCCTTGAATTTTCTTCACTGAATAATCTCTATTCTACATATCGTTAGTGTATCCGTTGTTAGTATTTTTGAAGTAGTGTGCAATGTTGTTTAAAGATTCTAAAAGATTATTTAGGAGAGTTCACGAAATTTCCAAGCAGTTGTTTTCTTTGCTTTACACTTTGTTTTTAATTATCCTGAAATGGAATTATGGGAAATGATCTTCATTATGCTGTTTAACTTTTTTCAAGTTGAGGATCTTTTATAGTCCAACATGGTGAATTTTTATTAATGTTATATGTACTCAGTCATGTCTGACTCTTTGCAGCCCCATGGACTGCAGCCTACCAGACTCCTCCACCCATGGGATTCTCCAGGCAAGAATACTGGAGTGTGGTGCCATTTCTTACTCCAGAGAATCTTCCCGAACCTTGATCAAACCCTTGCATCTTCTGCTTTGGCAGGTGGATACTTTACCACTAGTACCACCTCAGATGCCCCTGTGTTACATGGTCATCTGTTATTAGCATTTGTTCGAGATTTTTTATTACATCACTCTCCATTCTATGTCGACCAGTTTTAACTGCCTGAGGAGTCAGCAGAACGTGATGTGTGAATCTCCAGAGTTGGCCCAGGATGGCTTTCTCCTCCCTCCATTCATCCAAATGCTTATTCATGTATCTTTCACAAACATGCCTGGAGCTCTGGGCTCTTCGTCCTGGTCAGGCCCTGCCCTGGGCACTGAACACAGGGGCAAGTGAACACAGTTGTTAAAAGAAGCGTGTGACCCCACACTGGCAATGGAAGGAGGATCTTCCCAGGCTGAGAGTACAGCAGGCCCAGGGGGTTGGATGGACCTGCTGGGGCTGCAGAGGGAACAGTTTAAGTCAAGGAAAGGAAATGCCGAGGTGGGGTGGAAGGCGTGTGCATTTTTTTATTGCTGTGATGCTGCTCATCAGCCCTCTGCGTGGTCTGAGCCAGCTACCTGTCGCAAGAGTGACACTGGACAGAAACCAGCTCAGCTATCCCCACAGTGTGGAGTGATCCAGCAGGCCATGGGAGCAGCTGTAGGGGCCTCTGCTTCAGAAGCCCCTATGGAGGAACCGCATCCTGGCAGGGGGTGTAATTGTAGCGATTGTGACAAATGCTAAAGGGTTTTCTGGCAGAACCCACCAACAGTGAGACACACAGTCTTGCTGTCCATGGATGTCACTGGGAGATGGTGGAGTGCACTGTGACAGTTCAATCACAGCTCACTTCATTTTAGGCAGAATTTTCCAGGCAGTCAAAGAATGGCTTTCTCTACAGAGAGACAAGGAATCTGCCAGTAGCCCTTTAGCATGAGCGGTTGTAGCAAAGTATTTGATGTTTCCTTCTCTGAGGGAAGAGGATGCAAATGCAGAAGTACCTTGTGAGCTGGATACCTTTAACTCTGCGATAAGGAACGTCATATGCATTGTAGTAAAACACGGGGAGAGGGGGGAAATCCTCAATATTCAGACTGAGAACAGTTGATTCTGTTCCTGCAGCAACAAAGGATCCAGCCTCTGGGAGATGGAACCAATAACATCATACAAAGTGGAAGAGGCTAAACCACAATTAAAATTACTGTTGGCGACTGGGTCGGGGTCACCACTGTGAGTTCTTGGGCCTGAGTGTAGAGTCCAGGAGTGTCCCTGCAGGATGCTAACTCAGGATCAAAGTCCTGACCACTTCCTGGAGGAAATGGACATAGGTGATAACCTGGAGTCAGAGGATGGAGAGGATGTTGCCCACCCGGAAGGGTCCAGGTTGACACAGCAGGATGCTCCAAAGTCACATGTATATTCAAACATTCAAAATAGCAGGAATAATTCATCCTACACCCACATGGCCAAAAAAGAGACGAAAATGCCCACCTGACAGATCATCATGAAGCTGTTCAGACTGAAATATCCTTAATCAAATGGGCTGATCAACATCCTAAGGACGGAGGAAATGAAGTGACTGAGCCTTGTCAACAGAAACAAGAAAAGCATCTCAGAATGGCCTATTGCAGAATATGGTCCTTAGAGGCAACAAGTGGGAAGTTCTGAAGGAGATTACCTGATAAAGGGTGAGAATGATGAGCTAAGGGCCTACAGAAGGGCTTCCCTGGTGGCCCAGTGGTAAAGAATCCACATGCCAACGCAG